TCCTATAAACACCCACCCCACCGGTCTAACGAAACTCACGCCAGAGGAGCTAACCTACCTCCAAGCTAAGGGTGGATGTTTCAGATGCCAACGATCAGGCCATCAACAGAGAGTTGTCCAAATACTGCACAGTTCACATGTCAGGCACCCAAGTCTATGCCCCCCCAACCCGCCACTTCCACATCCGCCACTCCCGGTCCCTCCTCCACTTGATCACTGTCCCCATGATCACCACGAATCCAGCCCGGCATTGACGACTAGTCCGCTGGCCATCCCATCGGTGATTACCTCTATTCCACCGATCGCCCAGTTGGCAATACAATTCGTTTBCCCCCCCCCCCCCCACCCCCCCTGGGTGACACACTTCCCACGGAATGATCCCCAGGCATCACCTGACGCCACTCCCACTGGCACATGTTCCTCTACCCTTCTCCTGAATCCATCCTCTGTCACCTTCTCTGAGGTTGTTGAGGAACAAGCCCGACACAATCGGCTTGTCAAATTAGGCACCGAACAACGCCGCCTCAACGCCATCATCTCCACCGCCTACTTATCCTGCTTCCACCTCGAGTTTATTGCCGCCACCCTTGCTGTGTCTACAACCAAGTTCCAGGACCTCCTTGACATTGGAGCTACGGGTAACTTTATCACTGACGCATGTGTCCGAAAAGTCGGTCTCACCGCTACCGGTTGCAACTCTCCGATTACCATTCGTCTAAGGGACAAAGACACCCCCGTCATAGTGGACCGCACGGTTCCTGAGACCGCCATGACCGTCGGAACCCTCCGCAGTCAGGTCTCATTCGATGGCATGCACTTGATGTGCAACGTTTTGGAACACCTTGGTTGGACCACTACATGCCATACGCGTTCCACCCCAACTTCTTCCGCCTCACCAACCCCCCCGACACGCCCATCGACGTCCCCTTTCCCCCACCCTACCTCCCAGAACTCCGTCACTCCCCACCAGTTTCATAAGCCCGTCAAAACCCCGACTCCACCTCCTATTGTCTTGTCCTTGATCGCGAACGCCCCAAGGACTTGCTCCCTATGGACAAACCCGATCAAGCCCAACCCTCCGACCCCGCCCTCACCTCCATCCTCGACAAGTTCAAGGACGTCTTCCCTGAGTCCTTGCCTGCCGGATCACCCCTAAATCGTGGTGTATCTCCATTGATCTGGAACCCGGTCACTCTCCGCCGTGCCACCCTCCATACCAACTCTCTGTCCCGGAAGCCGAAGAAATGAAGCAGCAGCTCAATGAACTCCTTGAAAAAGGATTCATTAAGCCAAGCTTCTCCCCCTTCGGTACAAGTTGCCTTTACATAAAGAAAGGCGGAACCTCAAAACTCGGAATCTGCACAGACTACCGCGCCTTAGATCGGATCACGATCAAGAATAAGTACCCCCTACCTTGGATCTCTGAGCTTCTTGATCGCCTCCGTGGAGCCAAATATTTTACCAAGATTGACCTCCATAGTGGCTGCGAGTCAGGGTTATTACAGCCCCGCCCAGGGGGTCCAGGGCAGCCCCGGGGTCTGGTGCGGTGGTCCCCTGACCCCGGACCGGGAGGGGCCAAAATCAAAAAAATCCAAAAAAGATCCCAAAAACAATAATAAAATAAAAATAAAATACACGGGGGTGCACAGCAGAAGCCTGCACCCCCTGGGCCTAACTGCAAAAATGCAGTTTTGGGCCCACCTCAGACCCCCCCCCCCCCGGGCTACACCCTCCCCTGATGAGCTCGGGGTGGCCCTGGGCACGGGGCCGCGGGCGAGGCCGAACGGGATGCAGGGCCGGGGATGGTTGGGAGCGGGGG